TACTAAAAATAGAAAGAAATTAATTGGACAACTAAAAATATATAGAAAAAATTAGCCGGGCATGGTGGTGCGTGCCTGTAGTCCCAGCTACCCAGGAGGCTGAGGCAGGAGGATCGCTTGAGCCCAGGAGTGTGAGGTTGCTGTGAGCTAGGCGGACGCCACGGCACTCACCCTAGCCCGGGCAAAAAGAGTGAGACTCTGTCGCAAAATAAATAAATAAATAGATAAATAACTGTACTATATATTAAAAATAAACAATCAGAAATGAAATTTTAAAAATACCGTTTATAATAGCATCAAAAATATCAAACACCTAGGACTGGATCTGATAAAGATATGCATGACCTCTACACTGAAAACTAGAAATAGTGCTGAGAGTAATTTAAAAAGATCAAATTCATGTTTATGAATTGGAAATTATGACTTCCTCGTTCTTAACTTGCTACATGGAGTTGGTGCGGTTCCCACCACAATTCCAGCAAGTTATTCTGGAGAAACAGACAAGACGAGTCTAAAGTCCATATGAAATTCAAAGGATTTAGGACAGGAAAGCATCTTTAAAGGGGAGAACGAAACCGGAGGATCTGCACCATTCGACTTCGAGACGTACCGTAAAGCCACCGGCAGCATTTCCAGCAGCCTGGGGTTGACGCAAGGACAGACAAGCAGCCACGACGCAGCAGCGAGGCCCGACGTGGACCCACTGTGTGCAGTCTATTGCCTGTGACCAAGCTGTCGGGTCAGTTAGTCGTGGCAAGGAGGGTCTGCTGACCAAACGTTGCTGAAACAACTGGATATCAGTGTGCGTAAAAATGAGCTTTGACCTCTTTTCCATCCCATGCACAAATTAGCATGAGATGTATCCTAGACCTAAACGCAAACGCTGACACCATGAAGTTTCTAGAAGAAACAGGAATCAAAGTAGGCAAAGTTTCTTAGATAAGATACAAACGGATCCCAAAGAAAAACACGTAGTTAAATAGGACTTTGCCAGAAGTACAAATGCCTGCCCTTTGAGAGACGCTATTAAAAAACGAATAGGCCAGCCACAGAGTCGGAGAGAACAGCCGCGCCACACACATCTGAAAGTATCTAGAATATGTCAAAGTAACTGGCACAAATCAACAATAAAGAGATCAAAATCCAAATAATGTGAGCAAAATATCTGAACCGAGACTTCTCAAAGAAGACACACAAACGGCCGGTGGCACATGAAAGATGCTCCACAGAAAACACCACCAAACGTGGCAGGGGGGCGCGTGGCACTCTCGTTCGTGGCCGTGGGAATGGAGATGCGGCAACCCCTTCGGGGAATTCTGTGGCGTCGCCTGTGAAGTCGAGCCTGTCCTCCGACCCTGAGTTCCACTCCCACTTTCTTACCCAGGAAGAGGAAACGTGCGCCACACGGAGCCCTGGGTAAGCGCGCTCATCGCAGCCCTGTTGCTAACGGCCCCAGGCTGCCAGTCACCCAGACGGCCATCCGCAGCGGACGACGTGGCCACGTGACGGGACAGCGCTCAGCAAAGACAAACAAGTCCCCACAACGCGTGTGGACTGCAAAGTGTCAGGTGAGAGCAGCAGGTGCGGCGGGCAATGTGCCGCGTGTGCCACGGACAAGAAGCCCAGGCAGGCGGAGCCGACCGGTGGTGGCAGAAACCAGATGGGGGTGGGTGCGGCTGGTCTCGGCTGGATGGACACGCAGGGGACCTTCCGCCAGATGGTTCTAGGGTCACCTCCCAAATAAGCTGCTTGTGCTTGAATTCTGGTCTCGGTATCTGCTGCTGGGGAAACCAGACCGAGCCAGGGCCGCTCTCTGGACCATGACCTGGGGTCCCACGTGTCCCAGCTCCCGAGCTCCCAGCTCCTCTCATGAGCCCCCACCCCCACCCCGCTCTGCCCTCGGGGCTCCCGCCCCTGCCGCCCCTGTGCCGGTCACGGCGCCCCCCTGTGCCGTGAGGGTCCGTGTGGTCCCGTCAGTGTGATCACGGTGGCTGTGGGCAGAGGCGGGAGTGGGGCTTGGGACACGCACAGCCGCACATCTGCGGGCGCCGTGGCCGCGGGGCTGTGTGGGCCCACCTGGGGGTGGCGTGTGTGGATGTGTTTGGGGTGTGACATCCAGGACCAGACTGTGTGACAGTGTCCCCCCCAACCCCCGGCGAGGCCCCAGAAGAGGGTCTGCCTCATGGGCTCTGGGACAGGAGCCCCGGTGTCCACGAGGCCAGTACAGGGAGCAGGGGTGCCTCCCCAACCTAGCACCCCTGTCAGACAGCCACCCCCGCAGCGAGGCAGGTGATGACGGCTCTTTATTGAATGTGCCAGAAGGCGTGGCCTGTGTGGCCTGCAGCTCGTGTGGAAGGCACCGGGGTCCCGAGCCCCAGTGGCCTGTCCCCAAGAGGCCCCGTGTGGAGGGAGAAGGGCTGCCTGGGCAGGGAGGCTGCCGGGTCCTGTCCCTGCTTCCTGTCCCCGGGCGCCGCCTGCCCTGGGCTGGGTCAGCGGCTTTGCTGTCCCCAGGCCCACTGGCCACGCAGAGTCTGTTTGCTCCTGGGTCCTCTTGGGCCCCTGCAGCCGGCGTGGGCCGGGCGTGGGCCAGTGGGGGTCACAGCTTCTTCTTGGGGCAGCGCTGCAGGGCCTCCTTCAAGGCCTCCATCACGCGGTCCACGTTCTCCCGGGTGGCGTTGTAGCCCAGCAGGCCGATGCGCAGCACCTGGGGGCGCAGGCCGGGGTGCAGACGTCAGCCTCCAACAGGGGCCCCCCGGCCCTGACCGAGGGCCGTCAGAGCCGGGGTGGGCTCACCCCTTGGGACCGCCCACCCAGCGCACATGGAGGAGCCTGGATCCTCGTCCGGGTCACACGGGGAGAGAGGAGGCCCCCGCAGACCCCGGCCAGCGCTGGTGAGGGGAGGCCCGGGGTGGCAGCGGGATCGCTCAGACACAGCTGGACCCAGGCGTGGGGTTTCCAGCCCGGCTCTCTGGCCCCACTCAGAGGGCAGGAAGGACGCTCTGAGTGGAGTTGTAACAGCTGCGCCCGGGTACCTCACCAAGCCGGGGTGGGAGCAGGACAGGAGGGTACAGGTCGCCCGCACCCCCCCAGGGGGCTGTGCCCTTTTCTGGACGCCCCTGCCATCCTGGGCCCTCCGGGACCGGCCTTGCCCTGGACTTGGTGCACAGGTGTGCGCGGCGTGGGGCGGCGAGATTCTGGGGAGCTGCAGGCGGCCCCGGCCCGGGAGCCCCCTCTCACCTTCCCCACAGAGGGCCCGAGGCCGCCCGTGATCTCAATGCCGAAGTGGTCCATGACGTAGCTGACGATGTCCCTCCAGTCGTAGCCAGCGGGAACGGCCACGGTGGTGACCGTGGGCAGCCGGATTGCCTGCGGGAGGGGTCCGGCTCAGTCCTGGGGCCAGATGCCCGGTGGGGGCCCTCAGGGTGGGTCCTGGCCGGGGTCACCTGCCCAGCCTGAGCCGCCCTGGCCGGGCTCCAGAGGGGTCCAGGGAGGCCTCACTCGCCTGTCCCCGCGGTGACCGAGCCACCTGGGACTGCAGGGTGCCTCTACGAGTCTGTCCCAAGGCGGGTGGGAAAGAGCCCCCCAGCCCCCACCCCTGTGGGTGCAGGGTCCCTTACCGAGTCCCTTACGAAGAGCTGCAGCCCCAGCCCCTGCAGGCGTCCGTGCAGGTACGCCGTGACCTCCCGGTGCTGCCGCCAGCTGTTCTCCAGGCCCTGCGTGGGAGAGCGGGTCCGGGTGGCCACTGGCAGGGGCAGGGCAGGGTGAGAACCCCTCCCTCTGCAGGCATGGACGGGGCAGCCCCCAGCTTGGGGCCCTGGTTATCCCCAGGCAGAGGCAGTGAGCACCGTGCGGGAGCTGGGCGCTGGTGTGGGAGGCGGGGGCTGCTGGGCCACCCGGGCTGGGGCAGATCAGAACCAGGCGCAGGCACCAGAGTCCAGGCCCTCCATCCCCGCGGGGCTGCACCCTCCACCCCGGCCCCGCGCTAGCCCCCTCCCCAAAACTGCTCCTGCCTCAGCACTGGGCAGGTGAAGGCTGGTCTTTCCAACCCTGGGGCTCTCGGGGCCGGTGGCCCTCTCCCCGCTCCCCGCCCAGTGCCCAGCTCCCGTGGCCACCTGGCCTGTCTGCCGGAGCAGCGGCTGCGCTCTGCTGCGAACACCATGCTCCTGTCTTCCCTGCGTCTTCCCCACGGTCCATACCCCACCAGGGTCCCAGAGCCCACCCCCAGGGACCTTCCTGGCCTCTGGGCTGGTGACTGGTCCTGGGGGACATCAGGACCCAGATGGAAGTGGACGGTGCCACCTCCCGTTTCCTGTCCTGTGTCCCGAGAGTGTGTGTGTTGCAGTGGGTAAAACTGCCCCCTGGTCACAGCCGGTTGCCCCTGCCTGGCTCCCGCTCCGCCCTGGAAGCTGCGCAAGCCTGCAGGACCGCGCCAACGCCTCACCTGCCCACCGGCTGCAGGCTGGTGACTGCCCCTCCTCCCGGAGTCTCCCTCCTCCCGCACCTCCTGTGCACTGGGCCTCACCTGCCCTCCTGTGCAACGGTGGGTCCGGGAGTGTCCACACCTGCTCCCAGCAGTGCACCTGTTCCGGGGGCCTGTCCCCCGGCCCTGTCACAGCCAGCGCTCTGAGCGCAGGAGCCTAGCCCCGCCCCTGTCTGGTGTCGCCTCTCGCTCTGGGCACCGTGGACTTCTCCTTCCCTGCAGGCCGGGCCCATCGGCAAACCAACCTCGGCTACTCACCGTCTTAGGAGCCCCCGTGCCACCACCCTGGAATGGCCCGAGGGACCTTGGCAGGGTGGCCTCCTGGAGACGAGCCAGCCCCAGCGCCTCCCACAGAGCGCAGAGCCCCTGCGCCAGGCGCCTCCACCAGGCTGCCCTCTGCCCCACCCTCCACGCACCTGCTCGGCGATGAGCGCCAGGCTCTCTCTCAGGCTGTAGAGGCTGACGATGGGGGTCGTGTGGTGGTACCTGGAGGACAGGAGGGGCTCGATCCAGCACCATGCAGGGAGGGGCAGCTGCACCTGTCCCGGCCCCAGCAGCACGGGCTGTCCGACACGGGCGGCCTCCTCCTCGGGGCCCCGTCCAGCCTCTGGGTTACGGACGCGCAGCTGGAAGGCAGCGGGGTCCGCTGGGGAGAGCAAGGCCAGAGCAGGGGCCCTGGCCAGTGCGACGTGGGAGGCCGGCAGGACAGAGACACAGCGCTGCCACCTCCCACTGAGGCCCAGCATCCCTGAGAAGCCAGCACTGGACCCTCTGTGCCCCTGGGCTAGGGCACAATTCCGGGTGCGTTGTCCCCACGTGTAACATAACGGGCCTTGGGTTTATGGCCAAGGTCACCCCAGGGAACCCCTGTCTCACCCTCGCCTTTGAGAGCAGGGTAAACTGAGGCCCAAGGACAGGAAGTTGAGGCAGGACCAGGTCCCGGTGCCCGAGGGTGCTCTGGGATTCCGAGGAGGACAGGGTTGGTGGAAGGGTCGGTGGGGGCTGTGCCCTTCATCTGAGCCTCCCCGCCAGGTTTGGAATAGGGGCCGCAGGGTGAGGCCCTGGATGGCCGCTGGCGGGGTGTGGGGGCAGGAAGGGGGCTCAGGGCCCCGTGTGTAGGGCTGAGCCGCTGCGGTGCAGGGCGAGGCCGTCCCCACGCCCCGGCCCGGCCCTTACACCCTGGGCTTGCCGTCGCAGCCCCACATGTTGGCCAGCCACTTGAGGTCCAGGTAGAAGGAGAAGGGCTTGGTCTTCCGGGCGTAGACCTTGTTCCTGAGGAGAAAGAGCCAGCCTGAGCCCTGCCCCGCAGTGGGGCCGAAGCCGGGGCGACTCAGTGGTGTCCTGACCCCCAGGGACTCCCCCCACCCCCGTGTTTGTGCTCAGCGGCCAGTGTGGGAGCAGGCGGGTCGTAGGCCCTCAGGCTGCTGCCCTGGGGGGCCCGCACCTCGCCCCCGGGGTGGCCCTGCTGTGCGGGGCCCAAGCCGCTCCCCACTGTGGGTTTCTCCTGCAGGGCCGGCAGCCTCATTCCTCAGGCCACCCAAAGGCGGCCACTCTCTTAAAGACAGGACGGTCTGCTGTGTTGGCAACTCCAACCCATCAAAGTGACAGAGGGGAAACTGAGGCTCAGGGCCTAGAGCTGAGGCCTCGCCTCTCCTGGAGA